GGTCAGGCAGCCACCAGGCCGTGCGGACACTCCAGTGGCCCACAGAGAGGAACTGAGGCCCTTTGATAGTGACCGGCCCGGGAGGTGAGCCCTCCAGCCCCACCCGGGTTGGACATCACAAAACATTCAGGCCAGAGCCACCCAGCCACACCACTCCTGAATTCCTGACCCACAGACATGGTTTGAGACATAAATGCTTATAGTTGTCCTCTTAGGCCACTGTTTTGAGTTCATTTGTTATGCAGCACTTGATAACTAATAATCGTATTACAGAATTATGTAATAATTCACACCTCCCTATCCACAGAGGACTGGTTCCCAAACCCACAGATGCTCAGGTCTCCCGTGTAAAATGACATAGAACGATGCATAGAGCTGGTCTTCTGCGTTCACAGATTCCCAAACGCGGATTGGAAAAACTGCGGATACAGAGGGCCAACTGTATTTCTTGAAAAAAATTCCATGTATAAGTGGACCCACGCAGTTTCAACCTGTGCTGTTCTAGGGTCAACCGTATATTTTATTACATAGAACGATCTCTCTCACACCCACATCAAATTCATCAAATTCTGTTAGCTTCTCTGGCCACGGCAGAGGGGGCACCCAGAGGCTTTCAGGGGGAGGCTCCGTTGGGGAAACGGGGCTGTTTAGCAGGGGACTTCTGAAGGGAGGTCCCCTCACCCCAGAGGAGTGGCTCCTGAGGTGGCCAGACAGACAGGGTGGTGTCAGGGCTGGATGAGGAGTGTGCTGTGACCCTGTTCACTTCATAGCACCCAGGGGACCTCACACCGAATAGTTTGGAGCTGCCCTGGCTGAGCATGTGCGTGTGGTTTAGAGCAGAGACTCAGGAGTTAAAACCCCGGCTCTTGCGCTCTGGCTGTGTGGCCCTGGGCGAGTTGCCCGAACTTGCAGTGCCTCCATTTGCTCTTCTGTAACGTGAGACTGCGATTGTTAATACCTGCCTCCTAGCACTGTCCCGAGGATTTAAAGAGTTAATGTGTGCAGAAGGCCTGGGGACAATATTAGCACACGCAGGAATTACAGAAGGGTTGGCTGTTGACGTTATTATGGACATAGATCAAATCCATGCTCTGCTATGGTGCAGTCACTTTGCCCCTTTGGGCTCAGTTTCCTCACCTGTAAAATGGGATTGGCACAATCCACAGGGCAGTATGAGGATTCAAGGAGGTTGTGTAGGGGAAGGGCTTGTTCTGGTTCAAGGTTAGCCCTTGGTTAGGCGAGCCTCTGGGTGTGTCTACATACGTAGGCATGGGAGGCACTCCTATGGCCTGATTTCCACCTTCCCTCTGATTGCTGCCCCACCTCCCTTGCTGGGTCCCAGCTGAACAACCTTCCAGGCACACCCCTTTCTCGGCCTCCTTTTCCTGCTTCTCGGGCCGCAGCGCCACCTGCTGGCCCAAAGCTATATGGCACCCAAAGCCACCTGCATAACTAGGTTAGAGGGAAGGGAATATACACTTGAGGGCCTGTGGGAGATGATTATATATATATGTGAGTTCAAGTTCTGGGTTGAACCTGCCCTTCCCTCTACTCAGAGAGGAGCCAGGAGCTGAGGTCAGGTGTCCTGGGGAGAATGTCAGGATTGTCCCCTGGGGCCCAGATTGCAGAAGAAAGAGCGCTGGACTGGGAGTCCCCAGACTGGGGTCCCCCTCTGGCCCACCCAACCACCATCTGAACAACTTTTGGAAAATGCTTACCCATTTATTCTAGCATTTATCGCTCGCAAATACAGACACTGTGGGGAGAGCATTTAATGTGGGTATTGGGCTCTACTATGAGGAGAAATTATGAAAAGAAACATTTTTTTAAAAACTCCCCAAATCTTTTCACTTGCCCATAAAGTATGGCACAGGCGGTTTTCCGCACATCACCCCTGGCAGTCGTGAGCGCACTGACATGAAGAGGGCGGGTGTGGCAGTGGTTGCATGGGTTGTCGACCTGTAAGCCTAGGTTCGGCTCTCACTCAGATGTGTGGCGTTGCCAATGTGGGTCCAGGCCCCTACTCCCTGCATCTCGCTCATAGTTGGCTCGCGTCTCAGCACCGCCAACTATACGCCCTTACCGTATATTGTTCCCACCTCTCTCTCTCTCTCTCTCTCTCTCTCTCTCTCTTCCTGGGCATGCGCAGCTGCCTTTCTGAAGTTACGTAATAGAAACAGCTACTATTCCTTGAGCACCCACCGTGCACCAGGCACTGTTCTGAGCCCTCTCAAGTTGCATTAATTTGTATCATCCTCCTAACAGTGCTATGAGGCAGGTACTATTACCGCAGGTGAGGAGACTGAGGCTCTGAGAGGTTAAGCAACTAACCCAAGGTCACACAGCCAGTAAATGGTAGAGTCTGGGCTTGACACTGGAAAGTCTGAAACCAGAACCCACACTTTTACCAAAATGCTATCCACTGGAACGGAGGCCGGGGGGGGGGCGTTTGTGTTTGTCTCTGTACTTGTTGTCAGCCCACAAGCTCCATTAGGCAGGCTGGACCCTGGTCTGGGTCACATTTGCATCCCAAATACTGGTCCTTCCCATCCAGAGCCCACCCAGGGTGTGCGCTCAGTAACCGTGTGCTGAAACACCGTATCAGGCTTTCCGAGCCCCAGCTCCTCCATCTGAAACACAGGAATGATCGTCAGCACTGCAGATCGCCCCAGTCGGCGTTTCGGTGGGAAAGGTCTCGTTAAAGGCCCTTTGTCCGTCCTGGCCCGCCTCCTGTTCACCTTTCCTTGGGCTTTCAGTCCACCCGGTTTAGTGGCTGTGCCAGCCCGGGAGAGCTGACTGTGCACATCTCTTCCCAACTTTGCACTCAGTACCATCGTATTTGTAGCTTGAAATCAGCAACAGTGAGAGTGTTTACACCATGGAAATTGGCAACAGAAACAGGAGCTTTTTTTCCCCCTTGGGGATGTTAAACATTTACCACTGCCAGGAGAAAATGGGTTCTCTAACGATCACCTTCAGGCAGCAGCACAGTGCAGGTATCATGCCAGTTGGCTCTGGAGCCAGACTTCCGGGTTCAAGCTCCACCTTTGTCACTTAGGGGCTGCGTGACCTGGTTCAGTTACTTACCTCTCTGAGCCTCATTAGACTCATTCATGAGATAATTACCTCCTGAAACCTGTATCATTTTGTTAACCAGTGTCACTCTATAAATTCAATAAAAAGGAAAAAAGGGTTGATTACCTATTTCATTAGGGATTCAATGCAATTATTCATATAAATGCTCTCTCAATACTTATTAGTATATATCAGGCTAGAGTATGGGGGAGGGCCTTTCTTGTTTCACATGCTAGGAAAGGGGGTGATGGGAGGCGACTTTCAATGTCAAAGAGGAACCTCAAGAAGAACAGTGTGTAACTCGAGGCCAAGGCCCTACTGAAGGACGTCTAGAGCACTGCAGGCCAGATCTTATGAGTCAGGGCCGGAGTGGCCATGACGGCTGGGAGTAAGGCCCCTGCTGTTAGTTGGCTCTAGAGCCCAGAACAGGGTTTGGAGGAAGCAGGCGATCTAACCGGTGGTGCCTGCTGCCCTCCCCTCCCCTCCCCTCCTTCTCTCAGCGAGCACTCCTGGAGGAGAGTTGTGGGGTTTGTGATGTGAGCTGCGACCCTCATCGCAGGAACCGTACAAATAGAGAGAACAAATAGAACTCTATAGGAGTGGCACTTCTAATCTCACTGTAATTAAGTCAGTATAAATCTGAAGTAGATTCTGATCAGTGAAGATGTATATGGTACATGTAGAGCATTCATTTTAAAAACTGAAAAAAAACTATTAAATAATTAAAATGTTACACTAGAAAATATTCATTTAATGTGAAAGAAATCTGTAAAGGGAAAATAAAGGAACAAAAAAGACACAAGATTTGTAGAAAACATAGAGTACAATGGCAGGCGTAAATCCTGCTCTATCAGTAATAGCATTAAGTGTGAATGGAACCGATAGAAAGGCAGAGCTTTTCTGAACTAATTAAAAATCAAGCTTCCTCTGCTGCCTGCTAGACTCAAAGACACCAATAGGTTGAGAGCTAAAGGATGGGGAGAAATATTTTATACAAACAGTGATCATAAGAAAACAGGATTGGCCACATTAATATCAGAAAAAGTAGACTTTAACACAAAATATCTTACAAGATATAAAGGAGGACACTTTCTAATGTTAAAAGGGTCAGCCCATCGGGATGATATAAAAGTCATAAACATATATGCACCTAACAACAGAGCCCCAAAGCATTTGAAGCAAAAATGGACAGAACTGAAAGGAGACACAGACAATTCAGTAACAGGTGGACACATTAGTGCCCTGCTTTCAGTAACGGGTAGAACCACCAGGCAGAAGATCGTGGAGGAAATAGAAGGCTTGAACAACACTATAATCAACTGAACCTAAAAGGCAAACCCAGAGTACACCCCACCCAACACCAGCAGAATCCGCATTCTTCTCAATGCACATGGAAAATTCTCTACGGCACACCGTGCGTTAGGCCACAGGATGAATCTCAATTAAATTTTAAAAGACTGAAATCGAAGAAGTATCTTCTCCAACCACCACGTCTAAGAAGTCTGTGGAAGGGCTCCATGTGAAGATTTAGCCAGAGGATTTCACGCTGGTAGTCTGATAGCTGGAAGCTTCTAGAAAACCTTCAGGATATCTGCCATCCTGTTGGGAGCATTAACTTAGTTAACTCATGGGCAGCACTTAGAAAAGTACCTGGCATGCAGTAAGCACATGGTGAATTTTATTTGTAGTTATCCTCACAATAACCTCATGGGGCAAATTTCACTATTCTCTCCATTTTATAGGCGAGGAGGCAGAGACTCAGAGATGCACAGTCAAGTCGAGGCCACATGGATTAAAACTCAGTTTTGTTAGACTTCAAAGCCTTGGACAAGTGCAGAGAGGCAGGTCCGAGCACTTTCATTACTGCATTTTTTTTTGGTACTTAAGATCGGAAACAGTATAGATTTTCATCAGTAGGGACCGTTCAGTAAAGCCCATCCAGAAAGTGCTTTGTGCTGGTTACAAGAAACAAGGTCAGCCTATCCACAGGGGCATGGAACCATCCTCAAGACATTTTGTTCAGTAAAAAGAACACCTAAAAAAGTTCTATAACCCACAGAAAACAAAGCCAAATATTCCATGAGATCTAAGTGTATGTGTGTGATCTTTGGAGGCTTGTATGAAGCAAATGAAGGTGATTTAAACAATAGGATCTATTTATAGGAATCTTGCTTTCTTTAGACTTTCTTTTATTGAGTTTTGAAATAACATACATTCAGAGAAAAAAGTCAGAGTACAGCCAAATGTCAAGAAGGAAAAAAACCCCCACAGAAATCCCTTCCTCCAGATTAACTAGGCTAACATTTTGATATATATCTTTCCAGGCCTCCTTCTGTATGATTGTGAATATGTGTGTGAGTTGTGTGTGCATTTATATATACACAGAGAGAGAAATGTATACTTATTAATATGAGAATTCTGCTGTTATGTTAAAAAGTCCCCACACTATAGAAACTTAACCCAGAAGTTTATTGCTCTATCATGTGAAATCTGGGTCCCACTAGGAATGGTAGCTCCACAGTCATTACGATTTCAAGCACCTTCTATATTTTTCCCGCATTATTCTCAGCCTCTGGCTTCCTCCACATGGTCTAAGACAGTGGCTCCAGATCCAGCCATCACGTCTGCATTTCCACCAGCAGGAAGGGGTGAATGGAAAGTGGAGTCCTGCCTCTGCCTTTTGAGTACACGACTCCAAAATTGTACACATTGTTCTTGGTAACGTTTGTCTGAATGTGATCACATGGCCGTGTGTTAGCCTCAAGGAAGCCTGGGAAATGGGTGCTTTTCTCTGGGCTACCGTGAATGTGCCCAGGTAAAAGTCAGGGGTTCCGTGACTATGAAAGAAACAGGAGAATGGACATTGTAGCAACTAGTAGTGCTGTTTGCTGCTTATCTTCATTTTCTCAATAATATCTTTCCTCCCCCAGGGAGATAGTGCTCTATCTTATCTTACACTCTAACCATTGAACCCCATGAGTGGCCATCCACCTAGGCCAAATTACAGGTTGCAATAGAGCAACGTTCTGAAGGCACACCCAGAAGCCAGCTGCTCAACCAGCAATTTCCAAATGGAAGGCAGAGTCTTGGCAACACCAGTATTTGCCGTGGCACTTCCCCCAGATTTGACCTCTATAAATAGCACTGAGGCTCCGAAAAGGCCATCCCATTGCAAAACCAGACTTGCAACATAGGGCGTGTGAAGAACCTTCTCTGGCAAGTTTCGGCCCCTCTGCTAGTCACTCTTAAAGGGATACCATTGGACAACGTGTGGAATCTCATCCCGCCTACAAAAGCGCTCATCTCTCCTTCCTTCTTTTCACTTCCAGAGGAATTTGAGCATGTGTGTGAGCATGTGTGTGAGTGTGTGTGATGGAGTGGAGCCCATGGAACTGGACTGAAGTTGTCTATTTCTATTTGAAACCAGAAGACACTGAGCGGGGGGGCGGGGGCACTTCATCTCCGTCTGAAGCCAAGGTTTTCTTGACGGTTTCACATGCTCTGAGACTCATGTCTCTGACACAGACATAGCATGTAAGATAGAGCCTGGGTGGCCTGGTTCTGCCGCTTGCTGGCTGCGTGATCTCAGCCAAGATGCTTAACCCCTCTGTGCCTCAGCTTGTTCTTTCACAAAATAGAACTGATAATAATAGGAAGTTTCTACAGGGTTTCTGTGAGAAGTAAATCAGTCGAGTCTCAGGAAGACTCCAGGGCATCGGGTGACAGTCTGCAGAGGGCCGCAGGCATCTGGTCGACCGGGAAGGGTGGCAGCGGGAAGGCTCTTTAGAGCTATAAAGCTGATGGTCACCGTGGTGGACATTTGTGAGGATGAACAGGGTAGATGCTCCCTGTTTAAGCATCCCAGTGCTGGCCAACCCCAAGGAAGCATGTGGTGTAACCCCTATCAATTCTCTTCCAGAGGACTTTGTGGGCCTTACGTTAAGTCCTGGCCTGATTTTACACTTCCAGGTTCCTGGGGCCACCTTCCTTCAGAATAAATGTGGAGTGTGGAACCTTGCTTTTTATGCCAACAGCCCATTAGAAAGAACCCTGGATTCAGAGCTAGGGTCTGTGTTCTGACTTTGCGGCCCATTTTTTGGGGTGGGGGTGGCTCTGGCTGAATCATTCCCTGTGCGGACCACCGCCAGCACCACTATAGGGCCCGGGGCACACGCGGAGGCTCCTGCCACACATCTGGAGCGTTGGAGGGTGTTCACTCAAAAAAGAACAGGCCTTGCAAAGTGGGGGAGGTGCTTCTATCATCCCATTGTACAGAGGAGGAGGCTGAGGAGCGCTGACTCACAGGTGCCAACTTAAAGGTTGCCAATGGCATCAAGACCTCCAGGGATGGCGAGCGAGAGCAAAGCCAGGGAGAAGGGCACGGATGAAGGTGCCTTTTCTGAACACCAAGTCACTCTCCCTCTCCCCTCGTCCTTGGCGGGATATACAAGGGTGGCCAGCTCCGTGCTGTACACGCTCTTCTGCGTCTCCTGTCCGTGCGTGTAATTAATCTTGGAGCATCTTCCTGCGTCAGCAAAGATCTTCTTGCTCATTATTGACTCCAGCATTCTTTCTGAGAGGGAATGCCCGGAAGCCACCCACCTGCCCTTGGGGAGGCAGATACAAATAGAAAGAATTTCTCCTTGTGTCAAGAAGGGAGACATCCCCTCTCCTTCTCCTTATAGTGTTTACTTTAGAGAACTTGTAGGCTCCTCTGCTCCTTTCAGATGTTTGTCTTTTAAAAGCTGAACGGGCCTCTGGCCAGCTTTATCACCCAGGAGTGCTTTCCTCAAGGACCCAGAGCCATCTCTTCTTAATGTGAATATCAACAAAACTGGCGCCCATAGGCCAGTCTCGGGGGGGAGGGTAGGCACCGACCGTCAGGGCTATGCTCCAAGCTGCAAAGCAGCCTCCTCTCACAAAGGTAGAAGTTTCTTTTCCCTGTGGATAAGGACAGTTGGCTAACACAGATAGCCACCCCAACGTCAAGGTGAGGGCAGGATGAACCACTTGACAAGTGGTGTGTCTGGTCCTCCCACCAGAGGACCCGCTAACCTTTGAGAGCACAGATGTAATCGGTTGTATCTGCTTGTGCACAGAAGGGCGGGGGTTCTCTCTGCTTCCACATCTCGTCAGTGGATTGCCTGCGATGTGCCCCATGCCCTGGTTTAACGCCTACTCAGTAATACAACTGTTTTCCTTCTTGTCTACTTTTGGGGAGAGGCTTTCTGGCTCTGTGGGAGATTTTGTTTTTGTCTCCAGCACCGTCAAACGTCCTTGTGCAGAGGGCTGGTTAAAGGCATTTGGTACTTCCACTCGGTGGAATACTATGCAGTCTTGACAAAGACCAAGAATGCTCCCTTCATTTGCATTGTTGAGTCAAAATGCAAGGTCCACCGTAGTTCATATCTTTTTCTGTAAAAAGATTATATTTGTATTTTCTTAGACTAGCTCAATCTATGGAAGAATAATAAGGGGCTCATAAAAAATGCTCAAGTGTGTTAAGAGGAACTGGGTAGAAGGGGGAGAGAAGAGGGAGGGAATTTTTTTGCTGAAACCATTTCATATTTTCTGATTTTTGAAACATGGTGACTATATTATCTATTCAAAAGCAATTAAAAAGAAGGGGTAGTAGCAAGTGGAAAAAAAGACCACTAAAGAAAAGAAATCCCAGGTCCAGACATTCTCTAAGCACTTGACTCTGTTTCATTTCTGAGCTCAGTCTTGACCTTGGAGCCAACTGAAAACTAATTATAGTGATACATTTTGGGGGTTCATGATTGATTTTTTTCTTGGAAGGTTGATCAATGTCTTTACGTAAAAAGAAACAACAAAAAGTAAAACAAAAAAATCAGGCAAAACAAAAACAATCGGGTAACTAAGACACTCCTCCCCCATCCTCCCCCCATCCTCCTCCCCCTTCCGGTCCCCCTGCTCCTCAGGGTCATCTGTGTCCAGTTTTCAGCCTTAGTGAGTTTGGCGGCGGGGGGAGGGGGGTGAGTCGTTTTCAGGGGCTCTGTGGAGCCCTTCCTGCATCATCTCTCTCTGCCTCCCAGGAGCTCAGGAGGGGTGGTGGGAAGGGGTGTCCCTCCATACTGAGGATCAGGGATCCAGCATGCCCAAAATCCCCCCCTCAGCCATCTGTCTTCTAGAAGGGCCTCTGTGAGGAGAGTGGGGGAAAGCATACAGGGCAGGGGTCACCTCTCAAGCCCGCTGGCCACTTTCGTCTGTGTTGATTGTTACTCGTTATTACTCTGGGGGAAGTGGCCCAGGCGGTCTTGCCACATGCTGGGTGTGTCTCCCTTGTATCCCTGTGTCAAGTCTATGAGGTAGGTGCTATTTATTATAACCCCCTTTTTATGGATGAGGAGACATAAGCACAGAGAAATCAAGGGACTTCACCAAGGTCACACAGCTTCTAAGAGCCGGCTCGCTCTCACAGCCATTTCCCTTCCGACACCCTCAGCCTGCCTCCAGCTGGATGCTCTGTAGTCAGCTGTCTCTCAAACGTGTATTGCAAGCACTAGGGCTCAGAGTTGGGATAGGGCTGTGCTTGCATTTCCAGGACCCGTGGGTGGCATTACCCACTTTACAGAGGGGAGTTTGTGTTGATGGTTCAAGTCCTCAGGCTGTGCCTCTGAGACCCCCAACACTTGCTCGGTGACCTTGGGCCCTTGCCTTGTCTCTCTGGGTCCCAGTTTTCAGTCTGCTTAGGTGGAACACTGAAGGTTGCAGGAATCCGCGGATTTGAAGACTTGCCACACGTTGACCAGCGGGAATATCAGCAGAGCTCCAAGCAGTGAACCCAGCTGCACTGCCGCCCCGCACCACACGAGGGCGCTGCGGCTATGGTCGCGCAAGATCACGCCCAGCATCACCTTGACATAGCTCAGACAGCCGGTGAAAAGCACCCACGAGGCCACCTGCGGGGATAGGGTGGGAGAGATGCAGAGTGCAGGGGGCTCCGGGGTGGCTCCTAGGAGCTAAGGGAGTGGGATGGCCTCACAGGGCTAAGGGAACCCCATGAGTTGACCCCTCCCCAAGGGCAAAGGAGAGCCTAGTGGCGTTTCCATCCCGCATGATCAAGCCAAGGGCCTTGGGAAGAAGGCCACAGCTGCGGTAGACACAGTGGGAAGAGTGTGGCTTTCCATGGACAGGCTGTACCATCACCTTGGTCCAGCCACCTCACCTTTCTAAGCCTCCATTCCCAAATGGCAAGCAACCCCGCCCTTACCCCCGCCACATGGGGCTTCCTGAGGGAGTCACCACATAGACTTAGTCCACGAAAAGGGCTCTACCCCAGGGCTCCCCAGGCCTCGGCGGGGTGGGGGAGCACCTGTGGGAGCAGATACTCACGATGAGGACTTCTCCACTCCAGTGCCCCTGCAGGAGGGGGCAGGGGCTCATCACCGCCATGGCCAGGTTATAGGTACCAAAGCCGGTCCCAAACACTGTGAGGACCCCCAGGAACAGCAGAGACCTAGGGCAGAGTGGAGGAGATGGATGGGGTTGGGGAGAAGCTGACCCCTGCCTTCCCCACTCTGGGAACCAGGTGGGATGGTCAGCATCTCCAGGGTCAGATGTTAGAACCATGTGGAAACTTCCAGGCCATCAGGCACAAGTGGGTCAGTGAGGCTCCCGAGCAGTAGCGGCAGGGCTCAGCATCCCAGCAGGAGAACCAGAATGACTCTGGGGCTGCACAGACCTGGCTCAAGTCCCTGTTCCAGCATGTAAGCCTCCAGACTGGTCCCCGCACCTCAGTTTCTTCACCTGTGAAATGAGGCTTGCAGGACTGTGGGGGCAGGGGCTGTGGGAGCAAAGTGTGCAGGGTCTGGCCCTGGCCATGGACCCTACCTGGTATCTCACCTGCTGCCATTACCTCTGGCAACATGCCCAGGCTCGATGGGAAGCCAGGCTGGAGAGAAGGTGGCTCTGATTACAGACCGGCACTGTAGTGCGTGGTGTGCGATCTCCGGGGGCCCCTCCCTTCTGGCCTCAGCTACCCCTGTCTACAGCATGAGGTTTGCATGGTCTGGGGGCCCTGGGGGCCAGCTTGGAGGTGCTCTACTGGTGGCCTGCCATGTAGAATCCACGTCTGACGACTGAGGACACTGTCCTTCATTTGAAGTCTCTGCCCCTGGGGTTCTCCTATCCTGTCTTCAGATCACCAAGGCTGGCCTGCGTGCTGGCTGGGCAAGGGCAGAGGGCCTGCCCCTGCCTCTAAGGACTCATTCTGCCCCAAGATTCTTGGAGTCCTTGACTCTCAGATTCTGTATTTCTAACAGGTCCCACAGGTCTGGGGTCTCTGGTCCTGCTTCCCTGGTAATCTCCAGCCTCCATCCACAGTTTTTAAGTCCCAAGGGAGAAAGTTCAGCTTTCTGGCAAATTGACATTTCCTGTCTAACTCTCCAGGACTCATTCTTCCTCCTCCTGGGGATGGGAGAGGTGGGGGGGCGGGGCTGGGGGAGGTGTGTGCAGGTAGGAGAGGCCAGAGGGGGCACGTGGGGCAGGGAGGTAGAAGGGGGGTTGTGGGACTAAAGTTTCAAGACCCCAAGGTGAACTTTCTCCCATGGGGGTCTGAAGCCCTTGAGTCAGAATGACGGAAGTTACTTATTAAGACTTGAAATCCCAGGTCCCAGTCTAGGCTGGCTCAGTCTGCATTTTATCCATTTGCCCAGCCATTGTTTAGAACTGCAGCTGTCAGGGAGCCAGCCTGGGTTGGGGGCAGGAGGGCAGGGCTGGAGTCCTGGAAACTAGATCAGGGCCCTCCCTTTCTCTGAACCTCAGAGTTTCAGGAACCCAGTTCCTGCCTGGGTGCTACTCCTCATGGGCCAACAGCTGTGAAGGCAGACACTTGGGACCTGCCATGCCCCAGGCACTGCTCTGAAAGCTTCCCCAAGTTAGCCCCTCTAATGCTCCCAGCCACCTGACGGGTGGCTGATTGTCCCCAGTTTTCAGATAGGCATCCCTGAGGCACAGAGAGGTGGAGTGACTTGTCCGATGTTATAGAGCTAGCAAGTGGCAGAGCTGGGATTTGAACCCAGGCAGTCCAGCCCCAGAAAACCATCTTTTTAACTATTAAACATACAGCCTGATGGTGGGGTTTGGAATTCTGGCTTTTGAAATGAAGTGCACCCCCACCAGAGGTCCCCAGGGGCAGCTGGAGGCACACCTGTTAGACAGGAACATGGAGAGGAAGCAGGCCAGAGGGTTGGCCATGGAGCTGAGGGTGGCGGACAGGTGGTAGGCCACAGGCCCGTAGGACAGGCAGGAGTAGGTCTGCACGGAGGGCAGCACGCCGTTGGTGAGGGCGTTCACGAAGGCCACCAGGATGTAGATGAAGAGCAGGAGGGCTGGGTGGTAGTGGGGCGTTTCCTCCTCCAGATGCCCTTGGCCCTTACTGCTGTACCCCAGGCTTGGGAGACCGGGGTCCTCTTCCAGTGGCCGGATGGAGTAGAGGGTGACCTGGGAGGCGAGGAGGTCTTTTGTGGAGGTTTTCCAGGGCTCAGGGTAACGCTGGAGGAAAAAGAAGGCAACGAGGCAGCAGGCCATCATGAAGGAGAGCAGCAGGAAGAAGACCAAGGGCGAGAAGTTGGCAGGCAGGGAGTTGCTTTCCAGATGGCCCATAGAGGGCGCTGTCCCAGTGAGGCCAGGCACCAGAGTGCTGTTATTTCCCTGGGGAAAGACAAAACAAGGGTCATCAGATCCCTGGGCGATGTTGGACATGGGCAACAACAGTAATAATGTACAGTTAATATGATGCATTATCATGAGTAAGTGTGTGGTGGATAATACACGCACACCTACTGAGGTAATGATAATAAATGCTCATGTTGGCTGACTGCTCACTGGGCAGCAGCACCGTGTGCGCATTGGCTTGCGCCTCCTGACGCCTCCCGACAGCCCCGCGAAGTAGGGACCGTTCTCGCGGTTTTAGAGGGAACAGAGGTGTCAGAACTGTTTGTCACACTTGAGGATTGTGGGGAGCATGAGGCAAACCCAGTCCACTTGGTTCTTTATTTTTTAAAAGATTATTTATTTATTTTCAGAGAGTAGGGGAGGGAGAAAGAGGGAGAGAAACACTGATGTGTGGTTGCCTCTCAAGTGCCCCCTACTGGGGACCTGGCCCACAACCCAGGCATGTGCCCGGGCGGGGAATCCAACCAGAGACCGTTTGGTTCACAGGCTGGCACTCAATCCACTGAGTCACAGCAGCCAGGGCCCACTTGGTTTTTTTTGAGTCAGCTCTACCTCTTCCCATGCTCCTGCCCTCCAGGGCTGGCAACCACACGTGTTCAGAGGAGGGCCTGCCTGGGGAGCAGCCAGTGGGAGGTCAGCCCCGCCCCAGCTCGCCCTGTGTGTTGGCGTGGCCTGGTGTGGCCAGATCTCTTTTCAAGACATACACTACATCTAGATTTATGAATGTGAAACTGCAAACATTTAAATGCCATCAAATAAGTCAAACACTGAACGCCTGCAGGCTACAGCGGCCTGGGCCACCGGTTTGCGGCTGCACCTGCGGTACTGCTGTGGTTAATACCAGACCTGCGGTAACTGTCCAATACCCAGTGGGAGAAAGTCTGACGCGTGGACCAAAAGGGGGTTCTGCGAAAAGCTACCTCCCAGGTGATCTGATCGCAAATTCTTAACTGGGCTGGTCGTGGCGGGTATGTAACTTCTTTAGGAAAAGGCTTACCTTTGCCTAAGTAAGCCGCCCCCCCGCCATTGTTTCTGTAGATTAAGGTTAATGCACCTTTGAAATGCCCCCTTTCAGACCCTTCAAGAGAGCACAGAATCTTAAGCGTTTTGTAATTCAACTCCTATCTTGCTTTTCACACATTCATGGATTCTTCCTTGTGTCCTCACTTAATTTCAAATGAGTAAAAGAAACTGCAAAAGCACTATTTTCCAAAGCCTTCGAGATCTTGGTTCCCGGCCATTGTTGTCAGTTTTGGCTCCAAGAAACTCTTACTAACATTTTCTATGGGTTTGTGTGTTTCTCATGCTGACATTTACATGGCGCAGGGGGCAGGGCCCTGAAGAAGCCCACGCAGGGCCAGCTGTGCGCCCGGACACCTGCTCACTGTGCTCCTCGGCTCCTTGCTTCCCGTCGGGCAGCTCGAGTGAGTTTTCTCCTGGAACCCTGGGTCTCCCTGCTTTAAGGAGAGCAGGCCATGACTTTATCTGCACTCTTCCTAGAAAGTCCTTCAGGTGGAGAAGGGTTGAGATAACCCAGGGAAAGAAAAAAGTGGGTTGCTGCTTTTTATTTTAACTTCTTAACTGGATTGCCTACTGAGAGTCTGAACCAAATCTTTGCTGGGTAAATGAGATACGGAACACTCTTTGGCTCCAAGAGAAAGGATACTTGCTTCTCCAACCAGGACAGCCAACAGACTGCAGACCCCGAGTCCTGAGTGGCGGAGATCGGACCAGGGGCTGTCCAGGGTGGTGGGGCAGCTGATTCCGGAGAAGCTGGCAGGAGCCCCAGGGAGGAGGGCAGGGCGCCTTAGGATGGGTTCACATGGAGAGAGAGGGGCCTGTAGTTTGGACAGGGTCACAGCTCTGGTGGCGTCTGGTAAGCTTTTGCTGGCCCTTGCTCAAGAGTCTTCGTGGGGTTGTCGGAAGAAAAAAGTTCCCTCCAGGGGTATGGGGATATCCCAGAGGACTGTCCACTACCTTTGGCTTGTGTGGGAATGTGCACATAAAGGCTGGGTTTTCCTAAAAGTTTGTTCAGACTCCACAGGTCTAAAAAAAAAAAAACAACAACGGAAGTTAACGAGGGTGGTCGTGCCTCCAAGGCCAGCACGCCCCACCATGGTCAGCACCCCAGCGCTGCTGAGACGGCTGAGATGAGGGTCCTCTGGTGCTTCTGAATGAAACTTCTGTGCGCTCGACTGGAAAAAGCTGGCTATAAAACTAGGCAGAATGAATGGGAAACATATTTAAATGGTCTCTTGAAGCTTCGAAAAGAGGATTTAGATAAATGGATCCACCTGTGACGCCGGTTAGGCGTCAACCCAATTCTCTGAGGTGCTAAAAGCGGCTGCCTTTATTTTAGAAAGGAGGGAGGTCATTCGGAACTTGACTTCTCAAGGGCAGAAACAAACTGTAAATGCCTCCAGAGCAGAATTTGGATTTAACTGTTCTTTTACAAACGAATGTGTCTGTATATGTATGTTGTAAATGTGAGATAATTTTCCATATACAGATGGTATTATTAAAACCGATTTAAAGGCAAGCACTTGTGAGGATTGGGGATTCTAAAATTCTCAGAAATATGAACACTAATTCAAATGTTTGTGAAGTTTACATGATCTAAGATGAATCTTTAGTTAATAAAAGTTTAAGTTTGTTGGTTTGAGTAGAACACATATCTTTTGAGTTATTGATATTAAATAGAATATTTATATTTCACCTGGGTTCACAAAAATAAGTTTGTGTTAATAATTGACTTCGAAGTCTATGGAATATGTTTCTAGTGGCAATAAAGTGTCTTCATAAATTTGCCAAGCTAAGGACTGCTGATTGCTTACTTCTCAGTTTTCATTAGAAATTGAGGTTTTAAGGGTTAAAATGTTAATATATGTAGGAGTAACTTCGTGGTGTTCCAGAAGGGTCACTGAAACACCTCGAGGGTTTTGTTTTTATGTTAAACTGCATGGGAAGTATTGCAAAATAAATGATGAAAAAAGTTTTACTGTGTGGCAAAGCAATGCGTGTAAATGAAACAAATACGGTTATGGGAAATCCAAGAGAGCTACTTGATTCTTTGCGGCTCCCTGGCAAACCCCACTTTTTAAGTTTTTGCATTCCTCATGCATCGCAGTGAATTTAAGCTGGACCTAAATTAGATCAAGGAATTTACGAGCTGACATTATTAAAAGGATACATCTTACACTATTGCCAAGGTTCGACAGAGTCACTTCAAGGAAATGCCAGATAGGTAACTGCGTGCTTTCACAGTGAGCTCCCAGGAGACACGACTTTAAGATCGTTGACTGTGACCCGGAGATTTTGTTGTTTGGAAAGGACATCAGTTAAAAGACACTCTCCCGCCTTGTTGGAAGGGACCTTATCAGGCGCCTAACTGTGAATGGCTACCTAGCCTCTGTCTGTGGACATCAAAGACGAGAAGCCACCGACCTCAGAGGTAGACAGCTGTCCCAAAACGTGGACAAGGCCTGTGTCCCTGCAAATTGATGTTTAGCTCAGAAACCAATAGTTTGGTTGTTTTTTCCTGTCTGCTAATGGTATCAGTCATAATAATAGTTATACTTGTTCTTCAGGTTTTTCTATGTAGTCCAGCTGCTTATGACTACTGAAGCTATGTGACAACTTTTAATGCCCTTTCTGTGGCTTATGTGAATGTTATACGAGACACCAGACACAGAAAGTGAGACGGAAGGCGAACACGCGGGGCATGATAGTTCACAGGATAGAAGTGACCCGGAGTGTTTTTGTTGCCATCAAGTCTGTAAGATGGGACTGCCTTCCATTTACCTGGTCTTCCTTTCGGGGGAACACTGGGCCTCGACTCACACCCCATGTGTATGGTATTGTCCCATCACCAGTGGCCCACCATGTCTACAACACCACGTAGGTACTGAGACTTCCAGGAACGAGCCTTCCTAGTGCTGCGAGGCCACACTATCCAACCAAAAGGTTGGTCATCAACGCATCCTATGGATTGATTTAGGACAAAAGAGGGAATTGTGGCCCAAAAGGGGGTTTTTATGGAAAGTAACCTCACAGGGTGGTCTGATCACACAGCCCTAACTGGACAGATCACAGTGGGTTGTCACGCTCCAGGCATGTAACCTGTTTAGTAAAACACTTGTCTTTGCCCTGGTTGGAGTGTCGTCCTGTGCATCAAAAGGTTGCAGGTTCGACTCCCAGTCAGGACACTTACCTTGGCTGTGGGTTTGATCCCCAGCCTGAAACATGTTTGTCACTCTCCCTTCCTGTCTCTCTCTAAGATTAGTAAACACATCCTTGGGTGAGGGTTAAACAAAAACAAGGCTTCTCTGCCTTAAGCAAGCCCTGTCCATAGTTTCCGGGTGTCTAGGTTAGCGCACCTTTGACCTGCCAGAACCCCCCTTGAAAGCACAATCGCCATCGGAAGAGCACATGTTCTTAACTATCCTGTAATCTAATACCATCTCGCTTTCTCCCACTTCACACAATCTTCCTTAAATTCCCTCCTTAACTGCAAATGCTTAAAAGGAACTGCAAAATCCGTTATTCTACAAAGCATCTGAGATCTTGCTTTCTGACAACTGTTATACTGTTATGAGTTTTGAGTCAAATAGACTTTTATGACATGTCGCTACCAGGCCCTGACTGATGTGGCTCAGCTGGCTGGGCGTCGTCCCGCACAGCCAGAAGTCACCAGTTTGGTCCCTGGTCAGGGCACAGGCCTGGGTTGTGGGCCACGTCCCACGTCAGGGCTCATATGAGAAGCAGCCAATCGACGTTTCTCTCCCTCTCTTTTTCCCTCCCTTCCCCTCTCTCTAAAAACAAATGAGTAAAATCTTTAAAAGAACAAACAAACAAACAATGCCTCTACTGGGTTGGGTGTTTCTCACGTCGACAGATGTGTCCACACGATGTACCTGTGGACGCAACGACTGGAGTCTGCGGCTCCGGCTCTGGCTGTACATTAGCATCGCGGGGGGACTGCGAGTGAGCACCAGTTCGCGGTCTGCATTTTGGAATTGTGAGATCCAGAGCGCTCAGAATCTGTGACTCAGCTGGCAGCAGCGTCCGAAGGGGTATGAGGCCACTTACAGCCCTCGTCTGCCCCCGGGGCATGAGTGTCTCCAGGCCGTGGGCAGCAGTGTCACCGTGCTGCACTGCTGTGTCACAGGTGGGACGGGTGTGAGAGCGGAAACTCCCGGCCCGGCCCGGTGGCTTAGTGGGTAGGTGTGTCATCCTGTACACCAAAAGCTTGCAGGTTCGATCCCTGGTCAAGGCATGTACTGTATTTTTCCAACTATATGATGCATTTTTTTACCACATTTTTTGTTCAAAAAATTTTTTGCTATTTTCCTCACCTAAAACCTAGGTGCATCTTATGGTGCAGACCTAGGTTTTAGAGGAGGAAAATAGGAAGAAAATTTTTGAACAAAAAATGTGGTTAAAAAAAAAGTGCGTCTTATATTCTGAAAAATACAGTACCTAGGTTGTATGTCCAATTCCTGGTCGGGGCCCATATGAGAGGCAATTGACCCATATTTCTCTCTCACATCAATGTTTGCCTCTCTCTCCCTTCCTCTCTCTCTAAAATCAGTAAAAACATATCCTCTGGTGAGGATTAAAAAATAATAGTAAATAAAAATAAAAGCTGAAAGTCTAGATTTCAGAACACACCCGACTGACTTCAATTGAGGGTTCTGGGGAAGCCCCATGCCCAGAGCCTTATTTGATTGGTCTGGCTGAGGGGGTCCCCACTGGGGTGTTTCCGCAGCTCACCCAGGCGATCTAAAGTACAGCCAGGTCAAGGGCACGCACGGGTCTACCCAACATTTCAGAAACACAAGCCCTCCACATGATCTTGCGGTGACGAGGCATGGAGCGTGGCCCCGGCCCCGGGCGGCGCTGGGTACCTGTGGGGTGTCGGTCTTCCCGGTGGTGTTGGGGCTGGAGGTGATATAAGATGTCCCAGTGACGTTGACGCAGGTGGTAAGACCCGAGCCCTGGGCGAGAGCCACCAGGGCCGGCAGCAGACCGCTGAGCCCTTCGCCCACAAAGAAGGTGGTGAGGTAGTGGGTGGACAGCCGGCTCATGAAAGGCAGGAAAGTGACGGAGGAGGTGCAGTCCACCAGGGCCAGGAAGAAGGTGAGGACCATGAAAGTGATGCTGTGGTGGCTGCCCTGTACCCAGGAGGTGACATTCCAGAGGAAGGCAAAGAGGGTGCAGGCGACGGTGCCCACAACCAGCACGGCGAAGATGACGGGCACCTCGGGAAGGCAGCCGGGCCGGAAGTGATGGAGCAGGGTGATGAGGAGAGGGCTGACGTTGGCCAGCTGGATGATCACTGTCAGGTAGGAGGGCAGGTACCAGCCCTCGGGCAGCTGTGTCACCAACAGCGGCAGCTCCACCCAGAGCCCGTTGATGGCCACCCAGGAGCCCATCCCGAAGGTGCAGACCAGCAGGTGCGTCAGCAGCGCCATGGTGCCGCCTGCAGCGGGCTGGAAACTGCTGCCTCCCCAGATCAGCCGGCAGAAGGGCCTGCGGAGAAAAATACCAGCTGAGCAATGTCAGGTTCACTGTCCAGCAAAAGACCGGGCTTTGGGGCCCAGAGTTTTCTGTTGTCCTTCCTCTCTTCGTGAACAAGTTGGCCTTTTATTAGCAGAAAACACGAACAAATTCCTATAACTAACCTTTCGGTAGGAAAGGCTTTCCACCCATGACTTGTAAAGCCGAGACCCCCGAAGAAAAGTTAGATGCATTCAACTGCAGAAATATCAAAACACAGCAGCAAACAAACAAAAAAAATCAACAAAATACTTTCTGCAAAAAAAGGCGCAAAAAAAAGTGCCAATGATAAGATAAAAAAGGCAGATGATAATCTGGGGGGAAATATTTGCAGCGTAAACCACAGACAAAGGGCTCATCTTCTGAACACATACAGAGTTCTTAGAAATTAAGAACCAAAAGACCCAACAGAGAGGTGGGCAAAGGATATAAACAGTTTGGAGAAAAAAGTACAAAGAAGCCTTAAACATACGAAAGGATTATCACCTTCGTTCCTCGTGGGAAATGTCAATTTCCAAGGTGCCATTTCTCACTACGAGATTATCCCAGAGTTGCCTGCCCTGGACCGAATCATGAGTGTAGGAGGTTATTCTTTCTTGTGGCCTTGTGGGTAATAGCAAAATACAGGAGACCACCCAAGTGCCTGTGAGTAAAGGAAGGGCTAAACAAAGGTGTGTCTGTGAGTTGGGGCGCCACACACCTGTTGAAGGGGATGAGGAATGTGGGAGGGCTCCCCGGCTGACAGGGCCGGGCCTTGTTGATAAGGGAGCAAAATCGAGGGAGACAGACGGGGCACTGCCTTGTAGACACAGGGACGAGGAGGAAGAACATGTTCTCTTTGCTTGTGTTTGCACAGGGCAGTCCTTGAAGCGCACAGGAGCTGCTGGGGGTTTGCTGCATCTCCACCAGACGGTCTGCAGACCTTTTTATATAGTTCTGACTCGTGAACCATGTAAACACACTGCCTATTACAAAAATAAGGTCGCTTGACATAAAATCCCAATGTGGCACTTTTCTCCTGGAATTATAGAGCTCCATAGCTGGATGAGCCCTTGGAGACCACTTAACTCTAGCCCCCACCCCTGGAAGCTTTCTGCCACCTGCGTGCCGCCTCCCCAGTGACCTGTCACACCACCTGTGCCCTTACTCTCTTTGCTCTCCCCTCAGCGCAAGCGAAAATATCGGAGAGGCCAGAAGGAGGCTCTGGAGCCAGCTGCCTGGGCTTGAGCCCCGCTCTGCCACTTTGTAGGGCGGCCTTGGGGAGGTGGCTTTGCCTCCCTGGGCCTCACACCCCTCACCTGTAAATAAAGGACAATGAGGTGCAAAGGTGCTGCCGAGTTTCTGCTGTCTCCGGGTGCACCAGCCACACAGTAAGCACTCACTCAGGGTCAGCTAGCTCTTCTCTTTATGCTGGAATGCCAGGTTTGGTGACATGGTTATTTTTCTTCTAGTTCGTGTGGAAATGAACACACAATTCAAATGGAAAAGGGGAGAAGATTTGCCGTGAGGAGCCACATGCAGCACAATCACCCATGGTCTATGCACCGTGTGGGAGAAGTGTCCTCGAGGGTTGAAGGTCCACTGATGGCCAGTTGCCTCCTTTTACAGATGGGAACCGGGTGCGGCCCTGAAGCGGGGAGGTGGGATCTGGAGCCGGTGTCCTGGGGCTCTCCGCTCCCTGCACCCTCCCATGACCCTGTGGTGACGCCCCATCCCTCAGTTCTACTAAGCTCACGCTGTCTGTATTTAATGCCTTGTTTTTGTTCTTCTAGAACAGCAGGGGTGTGTCTTGTGGCCCTGCCTGACCCAGGAAAGTCTTGACACCACAGCAACTGATTCTCAAGTATCCCACTCCCTCCCTCCTTCCTCCTGGGCTGGGGTGCGGTGGGAGGGCGGGGAGGGGAAGAGCCCAGTCCACCCACTCCCAGCATCACCTCTCTTCCGCTCTGGGAAGCCTGGAGTAGAATGCAGCCTGAGCTGCTTTCCGTCCTGCTCCACCGCCCCTGTCTGGGGCCTTAGCTAAGCCACTGAGGCTCTGTCCTGTCACCGGGGAAGCCGGTCTGACTGACAGCCAAGGACAGCCTGGCTCTGGTGCACCTAGAGGTCCCATTGGAGAAGAGCAGCCCCCCTGGCAATTGTCATTTGTCTGGCTGCTCCCCACTTTGCTTGTGCTCTGTTCTGAGCCTGGAGCACCCACCCCTGACCCCAGCCCCACCACACCTCCAGCCCAGCTTTCTTCAGGACACTGTCTCCAGAAAACCTCCTCTGGCTGGTAACCACTTGGCCCAGGCTCCTTTATATAGAGTGTTCTGGTGGGGACACAGGCAGGCACATTTCTGGGGAGACTGAAGCTCTTACAGGGCAGAGGGCTGCCTCGGATCCTGGCGTGTTGAAGGCAGGAGACAGACAGCCCGGCTTAGGATCTGCAAACTGGTGACTCCTTGGCCCCGGCCGGGCAGCAGAGGGGCCGCTCTGGTCTGCCGTGTGTCACACACAGTCAGTTACTGAAATCCGCACACGGGGGCGGGGGGGTCGGGCACACGACACTAGATGTCTGGTTTCTTGGAATGTTATGTCAAATCTCACAATAAAAATTTGGGGAGATGTGTATTTTATATTTTGAGTTAAATATTTTTCAGCCCTGGCTGGTGTGGCTCAGTGGATTGAGCACTGGCCTGTGAACCAAAGGGTTGTTGGTTCGATTCCCAGTCAGCATGTGCCTGGGTTGCAGGCCTAGTTGCCCATAGAGGGTGCGTGAGAGGCAACCACACAATGATGTTTCTTTCCCTCTCTTTCTCCTTCCCTCCCCCTGTCTAAAAACAAATAAAATCTTTTAAAAAATTAAAACAAAATTTCATTTCTCTAGTAATTCATTTTTACTGTAAAAGTAAAAATGTAAGAGTTTGTAACAGATTGGAAGTAAAGACTGGAGCTAGCCCGTGGGGTGGGAGGCGGGAAGATTTCTGGTCCCTTGAGAATATTCTGGAATACCACACCAGGCCTTCATGCCCACATGGCAACCATCACTCTTGGCCCTCTTTAGCTTAGGGTGCCTGCCTGGGGCCCACCTGGCCCTGTAGGCACTGCAACTCCTTATTTTTTAGTGTGGCCTGACCAGGATCCCTCACTAGCCAGGGGCAAAGTGGGGGCTGCAATCCAGCACTGGGCCTCTCTCAGCCCATGGTGGGCTGCAGGCACGGCCTCCAGCCACCTTACCACTCTCTCCTGTGGTAAAATTTGGAGCCAGACCCCTAGGTTCAAATGCCAGCTTCAATCCTTCCAACCTGAGCAAGTGACCTAAACGTCCTGTACCTGATGCATCTGCTGTACAAGGAGGAGGCTCCCGGTGCCAACACCAGGAACTCGCAAAACGCCAGAACGGTGCCTGATGTGCCTGACGATGGCAAGTGATTGCTCTTCCAGCAAATGCACGCAGTTACCCTGAACACACTTTTGGACATCCCTGATGGTGAAATTTTGGTAATTCCTGATGGTGAAATTTTGTCATCATTTCCTCTTAGTCACCCAGCAGGGATTATTGAGCACCTGCTTTGTGCCCAGAGCTCTGAGGGATGAAAGAAAAGCCACAGGGACTGTCCCTGGAGAAAAGTAGGAGGAAGAGGTGCGTGGGTGGCAGAGCTCAAGCGCAACCATGGGTTAAGGCGGAGGTGAGGCGGAGAGGAGGGGCTGCTGGGACTAGACGGGGAGGCGGAGTTTCTCATCCTGCCTTGGCCAAAGCAGGTAACTCCGTGGCCACAAAATGGGAGCAGGTCTTCCTGGCGGGTCAGTGGAGTGGGGAAGGGAGAGGATCTCTTTCCAAGTCCAGGAGCTCCAGTGCCACTTCCCGGTTCCTACTGTACTGTCCAAGAAGACCCAGAGGCTGGTGGTGGCTGCCCGCCCCACCTGAGACCAGAAGCTGGCGACAAGCAGGCAGAATCCCACTTTTAAAAAGCTGCCCTGGTCAAGGTGGATAAAAGACTTAACTATAAGAGACACCATAAAGTCGCAGAGGAGAACACAGGTGGGAGAATCTCAGATATCCCATGCAGAAATGTTTGCACCTAGATGTCCCCTAGGGCGAGGAACATAAAGGAAAGGATAAACAAATGGGACTACATCAAAATGAAAGGAACCAACTGTATGGGAAAACATATTTGCCAATGATATCTCGGACAAAGGTTTGATCTCCAACATATACAGAGAACTCACATGACTCTGCACCAGGAAGACAAACAATCTAATTAAAAAATGGGCAAAGGACCTGAACAGACACTTCTCCAAGGAGAACATACAGAGGGCCCAGAGACATATGAAAGGATACTCAGCATCACTAGCCATCAGAGATGCAAATTAAAACCACAGTGAGATACCATGTCACACTAGTCAGAATGGCCAACATAAACAAATCAACAAACAAGTGCTGGTGAGGTTGTGGAGAAAGGGGAACCCTAGTGCACTGTTGGTGGGACTGCAGACTGGTACAACCACTGTGGAAAACAGTATGGAATTTCCTCAGAAAACTAAAAATGGAACTGCCTTTTGACCCAGCAATTCCACTTCTGGGACTATATCCTAAGGACCCTGAAACACCAATCCAAAAGAACCTATGCACCCTAACGTTCATAGCAGCACAATTTACAATAGGCAAGTGCTGGAAGCAACCTAAGTGCCCATCAGCAACCTAAGTGCCCATCAGCTAAATGAGTGGATCAAGAAACTGTGGTACATTTACACAATGGAATTCTATGTAGCAGAAACAAAGAGGAAACTCCTGCCCTTCCCAACAGTATGGATGGAACTGCAGAGCATTAAGTGAAATAAACCAGGCGGAGAAAGACAAATACCATATGATCTCACCTATAAGTGGAACCTAATTAAAAAAAAAAAGAAAAACAAAGAAATGAGCAAGATAGAACCAGAGACATTAAATACAGAACAAACTAACAGGGACCAGAGGGGAGGGCCAAGGGGCA